AAAGAGAGAGAGAGAGAGAGACATTGATAATAAAATTTATTGCAATTGCATTGCAATAAATTAAAAGTTTTGTCACATCGTTTTTGCTTTCGCCACGTCTCTGTTCACTTGCAAAATAATTTGCACGTCAATGTACTTTTGCCAAATGTTTGAAACTCCACCCCTTAAATCGTAATATCATCAAGAAATGATAATGGCGATCTACCAGTTCGAGTTCGAGGAAACTGAGAAGGCCGTAGTCTTATAGCTCATTATGGAAAGACGAAAGAACATCGACAACTTGAGTGGAAAGTTTTGGCGGTCCTTTCAAAGTTGAAAATTATACACCGGATGCGACGAAGAGGACTTTGCGTTTCAACTTCTATTTTCCTGCGCTTATCCACCCCCTCTCTCTCATCTTCCGCAATCGCTTTAATCCAACTTATTTTTCTCCCCGAAGATTCTCCCGTGAGATTCCGCGGCATAAGACGGCAAGCTATCTTCAACGGATAGTCAGGGGATTTAAGTTTTGTTGTCGGCGATTCGTCAAGCGATCGGCGACGATAAATTAATACGAATCTAGAGCGAGATTTCTCCGAATCGTAAATCGACACTCGCGGAATTTGTGCGCTACACACCCGCGATCGATCTTGCCGATAACGAGCCATTTGTATCCGAAGCTTTTAATTTTAAATCCATGTCAGATTTATCTTCGTTTCACCGCCGTGGTTACGTGGATTTACATATCGATACCACAGGAGTACCACAACAATCGATGTCAATCCTTAATTCAAAATTAAAAATACATTTTTCCCTTTGTTTATATTTAATGAATATCATTTGAAAAGACCGATGACTATAAATTATTTAATTTGCTATGCGCAAGAGATAAAAGTATATCGCTTAAAATTAAAAATTTTAATATGTCGAGAAACTCATTACTTTGCAAAGTTACGGATCATTTTTACAATTATAATTTATTTGAAAAATGTACGACGCTCATAAATCGTGCTGACGCTGAAAAATTATTTTCGAGTATTTGCGATTCGAGCTTGATAAAAGGATTTTATTTTATAATCAAAGTGGACTCGACATACTGCCTTTCATCGCTCTGTCAATTTTGCTTTTATCATATGACGAAGTAGTTGCAGCTCCGTCCTGACGTAAGACTTAAGCCCAAAGATTTCTATTGAAAGGCATTTCTTTTCTAAGTTAAATTCCTCTTATCGGCGAAGATGCATTCATCCAGGAAGTAATTATGAAGATTCTTAGACGATTCATTGAGCATTGCTTTTGTCTGAAGTGTCTTCACTGAATAGCTTTTTAAACGCAGATTCTTCGATTTATTTGAGACTGACATTGTTAAAATATGGCTATTTAATATGAGAACAATTTGTTTCTATCGAGTTTCAGTTAAAGCTAATTTTTCTTTATAAAAAAGTCTTGAGACACGCATAATTTTCAAGCTTTCTTGCTTTGAAAAGTAAAATACGCTTCATGAGCGGACTTTTTGTTTGTGTCTCGCCGACATGTCCAGACTCATCAATGTGTCGTCACGTTTTTCGAAAATCTACAGATCAATAACGCAGGATGGCATAATTAATTACGTGAAGAAAAGGAGCGAGAAATTTGCTTTTCAAAAAGTCCTCTTTGTTTGCCAAGAAAGTAAATTTGGATATTAATTTGTAGATACGTGATTTAGCGTATTACTCTTTGAGCGTAAAAATGTGAGTTTATTCTTATAAATTTACATCTAAAAGTCGAGAGAGGTTCTCCAATTAAAAAATTATTTTTAATACATTTATACTAAAATTTAAAAATTAAGGAGTTACGCGAGATAATTTTCTTTTTAACGACTAAAAATCTATAAAAAATTGATTTCACAATAAAATGAAAGAAAATGTCGGCAAATATCATATACAGACTTCGATATAGGAAACATCAAGATTATAGACTCAATAAAGGATTTTACAGCATCACGTTCTTCCGTAATATGTACTTGTCGGCGATATTCTCGCTTCGGACAGGGTCAACTGGCCGACTATCAGAAATAAGGACCCAAGTTGACGTCACAAGGGAAATTAATCGATGTATGCTCAAGCTATGAGCAGAGGCGTCAATTCAAAGCTAACATCATATGGGTCTGAAAGAGATTGTTTGGGCAAGTTCGTGCGTGAAATTCCAATCGTCGTGAGAGTCAAGACATCAATTCGACTTTACTGACAATCCGAACAGCATATTTTAATCACATTAAAAACAAAACTATTTTTTCATAAATTACAGAATACACGCAAAAAGATTGGAAGATTCAAAATTGCGCTAATAAGTTTGCAAGTAAACTTTTATTACATTTGATTTTATGCTATTTTTTTTCACAGCTTTTTCATTTTCAACATTAAATATTTAGCAATTAAATTTTAAATTCAAATTTTATTAAAGTGTTTTTAAATTAAATTAAAGAAAATAAGATTCTATACTTATAGTTTGTTAATCGATTTAATTCAAAAAAGCCTTTGCATAAAAATTAAAGAATTATCAATATTTTTGTCAAAAAGAGATTTTATAATTGATCTTATTAATATATTAAGATTTAACATAAACTATATACAATTATTTATAAAAAATGTAATATCTCACCAGATTGTGTAAAATTAAAAATAGAGAGAATAACAAATATTTAACATATTATATTACAAATTAAGTGGATTGTATAAATTTGTTAATAGAATCTTTTACAGATATGGTACATCACTTATAGTCACATTAAGATATTTTTTTCTCCATTGTAATTACGCATCTTGATTGCTACTATGTAACGAATTAACGTTGTGCATTTTTCAGCTCCGCCAGTTCCGACGTTGTAATTTATTGGCATTGCGTGACAAAGGGTTCCAGAGTTTTTGCTTTTCCGTGGTCGACCTGCTTTATTCAGTTTACTTTTATCGAAAGTCTTTGAACTTTATCCCGATACTTTCGCGAATTAAAAAAGTAACAACTACAGACGGTAGTCCTTAAAGTGCCTTAAAGTAATTTATTTTTCTCAATCGCTTGTAAAAAGTTCAAGAAAATTTCTAAACTATATTAACTTTATCTTTTAATGGCATAAATAAAAATCTCTCCCTAAAGTTAATATCAAAAATATCTGATATAATGGCATTTTACATATTTTTACCGACAGAAGTCTCTGTGTGCGTCTCTGGATAAACACAAGGATACTCATACTTTACTCAATTATACAGTGCTGTATAGCCATTAATAGCTATCGGCTTATCCATGAATATTTATTGCAACTTTATAGCTCGGAGCTGCGATAAATTATGCCGCACGTTTCAAACTTAATTTTCTGTTACAATATAACACATATTTTCTTTTTGTCAAAATTTCAAAACGATCTTTGTCGTGTCGTGAAACATTAAATTATACGTGCTGCACCGCTTTTAACGACTATTACGGGCTGAAAGAGGACAATAATCGCGATATTATCCAGTCGCTTTGGATGCTACAGTTTTAATACTAAACAGTGAAGCGAGAAAGTTAGATCTCGCTGCGGAAAAAGTTGGAAAGATTAACGATCTAACTTTTATGAATAATTAGCCGCATCGTTGCATTCAGCACATATGTGATTTAAAGTAGAATAAAATGAACTATTCGATGTATGAGACGTATTAGATTCGGAATTCCGGCTAAAATTCATAGTTATTAAATCATTAATTATTTCTGACGGGTATAATTTATCATTAAATTGAAACTTATTTCTCGCTTCCCCCATTTTTCCGCTCAAAGCGAATGTTCGATTATAGTCTACTTCCTG